ATTAATTTACCGCGCGGGCCGACAATCGCTAATTGTTCGTGATCGCGTTTATTTTCGGTACTCGCTGTGATTGTGTTTCAAAAGATGATAACGCTACTACGCGCGGAACAGTTTGAGTGTCGATGTCCGAATGATAGCACGGCGACTTCATGCGTATATACAAGTACGTTATATACGTTATAACTATCGAGGGATATATATACGTTGTTAGTGTATCGTGGCCAAGTAATATTTAACGTATTATGAGATAAATGTATATGCCGAATATTCTGTTTCTTGTATTCTAAATTAATTTCGATGCTCGAATTATATTATCGGAATATTAAAATTTTTATTGTCCATTTGAAGAAAAAAATTTTAAAGCGATTTATTATTATCATTATCAAATTTTATCATCGATTTATTATCTTTATCAGGTAATAAAACGGCGTAAATTTAATAAATCAAGAATTTTTCTGGTCGATTTTAATAAATCGGGAAAATAAAATTTAATCTCGTCGCAAAAATATGGTGGCTCTTTGTCGCCGTTTTAGAATTTCACTTCTCTCGGTATGTAAAAAATTTTAGAATAAAAGAAAAATGCTATAAATTGTAATTTGTATTTTGTGGTATAAATACAGTTACGGATATAAGCGTGTAAATTCTGCGCAGCCAACTTTAATCGTTTATAACTTGAAAACTGTTATAATTTCTTGACGTTATCGAGATTTTCAAACGTAATTAATCTTTAGGATATTAAAGAATTGTATGACGATCGTGATGGGATTCTGTATAGAATGAAAGGCGTTTTTTCTCTCTCTTTTCTTTCTCTTTGTCTCTTTCTTTCTTCCTTTCTCTCTATTTGATAAGCTGCATTACTTAGATTAAAGCTATTAAAGCATAATATTGGATTTGAGACATCTTAACTCAAAAAACTTAACGTTTAATGAATCAGTGGATGTCGAACTTTTTACGATGGAACAAAGGCGATGGAACTTTATCAAGAAAAATCAATTATTACCGTTGAGTTACAGATGCATATATACGTGTGTATGCAAATACAATTGTAATGAATAGTGAGGAAGAAATTTGTATTTTGATTCTGAAACGAAAAAATCGGTATTTCCACGAGAATAAATATTTTTCCGTTCCTTTATTCGAGATATGTTAGAGCTATTCACAAAGTAAGCTCGATACAGAGGCGCAGTAGATACAGAAAGGCATATGTACCTACAAAACAAAGATAAAGTAACGGCAAGATATACGTCGAATGGCGCTGAGTTTCCGAGGAGATGCATACTCACTGTAGATTTCGTCATCTTAGAAAGTCGCTGTTGTCTAACTCTTGACGTTTCAACCTTACCTGCAAAGTAAAAAACCTACGCGAGGAGAATGGGAGGATGTCTGCTTCATACAAGAGAAAGTGACTCATTTACGCAGAGTGACTTCTCTACAAACGCGCGCGGTCGCAAATTCCCGAAATTCAGCCGGGTAGATAGGAAGGTGCATTCGCGCGCGCATAGAACGTAAAAAAGGGCAGAGGACAAGAACTGTGCTTGGAACGGTCCGGAGGTACCTAACGCAAGAAGACGCAATCTACGAGCGTATCCGCAAAGGGTACCCTTTGCCCCGCGCGCGCGCGCGCTTCTCGGATAGAGGAAACTCCTCGACTCCGTGCTTGCGGTCCGCTGCTGCTAGTCCGAATTTCGCCGTTTGGTGTTCTGTATCGCATTAGATAGGGAGTCCCGTCGCGGCCGGCGACGGATAGGATGGGTGGAGAGGAAGAGGAGAGAAGAGAGCAACGGCGCGGCGCGGCGCGGCGCGGCGGAGAGATCGGGGGCTCTCGGGAGGGATAGAGAAAGGCGAAAGGCTCGCGCGGGGTTGCAGGATGGTAGCGGCGATGGTAATGACGACGGCGCGAGCGATGGCGAGAAGAGGGTCGCGGGGGGATAGGACAAGGGTGGAGGAGAGGAGGGCGCACCGCAAGCTCGAAAGTTGGGAAAAAGCCAAGGAAGGGGTTGTGCTTGGTGCGCGGGCCAGCCGGAGGGCGCAAGCTCCGGGTCTTCCTGTGCCCTCCCACTCGGCCGCGTGATAGGTGGAGCTTTCCTGCCCGCCAATACATGTCCCGGGGAACGCGTACTCTCGCTCCCGAGCGGCGCGAGTAGTGCCGAGCCGCCGCCACCGCCACCGTCAGTCCTTCCACATCCACGAAAACGCGCGTCCCACGGTGGTGGTACCGTGGTGTGTGGTGGCCTCTCGGCGCCGGCTCCGCTGCTGCTGCTGCTGTCGCGCCATGCGTGGCTGATCAGGTCAGGAAGGGTTGTTGGGGCCTCGGTGAGAGAGGATAACGCGCGCGCGAGATAAGGCCGCGGAACACCACCCGAACGCGAGCGCGACCGCGGTGACATAACCGTCGGCGAAGGGCGGCCAGGAGTCCGTCGAGTGACGGGATGATATATCGTAGGGATGTATGATCTAAAGGGTTGGGTCGGCAGGTGAAAATTAACGCGAACTCACATCGTACGGTGTGCTGTGTGCGCGAAGAGAGATGTCGGTGAACGTAAGAATAGTTCTGATAATGATGTGGACCGATGTGCGCGGAAAGGTCGGTTACGTGACGGCACGAAGAGGGTGAATCTCTGTTATTCCGGGTCTGGTAGAAGCGAGTTGTGTTATACCGAGGTATCGCATTCGTAACGGAACGTCGGAATTATGCAATAAGAATTATCTCGTTTCAGAGGATATTTTACCGATGACGGAAACTTATACATACATGTATTACATTATAGCATTCTTAAAAAAATAGTTTGATTGAAATGGATATTCTCTTTCTCCTGTTTTAACTTTTTAAGAAGAAGAAAATGGTTTGATAATAATCGAGGAGTGATCGCGTGATGTGTGTGTGTGTGTGTGGTATTCCAAATAATATGATACAATACAGTATATATTAATTTTCGATTTTGATTGTTAGCATGATGTCTAAAATTGTGCGAACGTTAATAATTAATTTTCGCAAAAGCTTGGTTAGGATTATGCATCCATAATGAATAAATTCTATAGCTAAACTTCTTTCTCCTTTAATTTGTTCTTTATTAACAGTGCACATTATGTTATACAAATATAGTCAGTTATGTTTTATATGTTGTATATGAGATATTAATGTCACATAGAGAATTGATTAACACTGCGCATTAAGTTTCTTAGCGGTTTTATATTTTACGATCGTTGCGTGACAATTTAGCATGCTCTCGTATAAAGTTGTCAGTGTAGAAAAAAGTAGCGATCTCGATAAAGATACAAAATTCTCAATAAATTATCGGTTTGTATGATTTGTATCCTTGCATAACGACTTAACGGTAATATGTTAAGGCGCGTAAATTAATTGGTGCGCGTGGAGTTCTTAAGGCATTCCAGTAACTGTAAGCAGTTACATATATCCGAACACGTATACGAAATTTTATAAATTTATGGATTCAGCGTTGCTGAATATATACATACATATATATATTTATATACGGACTTATCGATTGCATGACATTTCATTGCAGTAATGAGAAATTCGTGAAACTAAAGTAATATCGTAACATTTATACGGTCGTAATGAATAAATTCGTGAGAAATATAAGTATCATAATGATGGAAAGCACATCATAATTATTTTTAATATAGTCAAGAAAAAACGCGTAATTCCTAGTGTAATTACTGGAGTTTTTAAAGAGACAATATATGACACATTGATGAAATTTGAAATCTCACATTTCTGATAATAAATAAAAAATCAAAGGTATAAGAATATGAAACGGAACTCTCTAAATCTGAATCAGTGAATAGTCACTGATTCAGATTTAGAGAGAATACGAACAAAGAATTATAAAAAATAGAAAAATAATTTTGAGAATACCCATGTAGGGGGTTGGTCAACTTGGCCAAACATCGTGCCAATCTCGAACATTGTATATCAGTATTCTGATATAAGTAAACCTGATTGGCCAATAGGTGGCCGAACTTTGGAGCTTATAACCATCGCGCGAGATTGGCAACCGATATAAGCCCAAAGTTTGGTTCTTCGATGGGCCAATCTTGAGCCAAACACTGGCTTTATTTATGTACGCCAAAGTAGGTTCATCTATGTTGACCCAAATATCGGCCTTGATTAGAATTACCAACGTTGGTGACAAGATTTTTAGCCGAGTATTGGCCGAATTTAAGCGCCTAACTTTGGATATGCGATAACGCACCAAACAATGGCCACGTTACCTACCTCGGCGAACCCTACATGGGTAACAGTAATAAATTGATAAAAAAATATACACTGTTTTACAACGAAGAAAGCGAGTAAAATTTATGTGAGAAAGTTTGCAAAATACTTGGATACATTAATTGAAACTTTTTTATCGCGATGTAAAGTTACGTGCAACAGCAAAGTAACATCACGTTATTTACATGTGCATTTTTATAACGCTTTTATTCACGATCATTCGAAATAAACTTCTTTTTTCGAGAAATGCATCGCGATAGATGGAAATTACTTCCGAGTGAAGCGCTGCCAAAATGCGGGGTGTGTCTATACCGCGTGTGCTATCGAGCGATAGAAAGAGATTATGTTCGTAACGATACATAGCAGGAAATATTTGGTACGATATGCATTTGAGCGATATTGCATTCGTTGTTTTTCCTAGATAGCTAAAAAGCGTGATATGTCCACAGGATAAATCGAAAATCTAAACAACGTGAAAGATAAATTTAAAATACAGCTTCGATGTGTTAATATTCAACGATGGTATAAAAATAAAAAGAGACGTTTGCGAAGAAAAGAAAGAAAGTATAATTTATAATATATCTCTAAAACGCGACCTTACTTTCGTGCGTGGATGTAATTTTTACATCGAGTTACAAAATACGAGACAGATTTTTGAATCGCGTGAATCTTATTTTATTTCACATTTTCGAAATTTCACGAACGTTACGCGTTACGTTAACCTGTTAAAAAAAATTTTTTTTATTGTGAAAAATTTTATCCTCGAACTTGTATAGTTTATTGAAACGTCCATAAACTGTTTTTATTAATTACATTTTGCTTCCATTCTATCGAAATTCAATAATATGCATGTCGCGAAATGATACGGAAGACAGTGCGTGAATAAATTGCTCTTTGACGACACCAATGACATTTTAATCGTTGACTTGTATTACACTTAACTCTCTCTCTCTCTCTCTCTCTCTCTCTTCCTACAATTTTAGTGCATAACGTACTATATCGTGGAAGGCAAGTAAATTTAGGTAATGAGACTTTCCAAACATGTTAGCATGAGCTCTTGTTTGCCAGATGCGCTAACACATAAATTCCTGTTTGCCGCAGCACATAGCAGCTACGAAATATACTTCAACGGATGCTTGCAAAGCACTTTGAACATGTGAATATAGACTGATTTCTCTCATAGGTATATATTTTACGCGATTTTATTAATAAGTATCTTCGGCGACTAATAATTTCAAATGTTTCCTGTTTTTTAATCAGTTTTTGATTTGTTCTACTTTTGCTGCAGTATAACTGACATACCGAGAACAACGTAAGGAGAAATAATGTGAGATATAAAACGCAAATATGGAAGGAAAATGAATTTAAAACGCTTATTAATAAACCACAGAGCCTATATGCATTGGCAAATGTAAACCGAGCTAATGAGTAACAAGATAAATACGCACTCTCAAGTTATATATAAACTAAATTTCCGAGATATATATCGGTCGTTATATATAGAGAAACTCTCCGTGTTGTAAGATACTCCTCGTATGGCTTTTGTATCCCACAAGTATGATCTTCGGGTAACGGTAGATCGTATATACACGAGTTGTGAGCTGGGTGATCGCGCGAGAAAGGTGTGCCGCGCGATCAACGTCGAATTTTCTCTCAGTCGGCTTTCAGCCGGTAGATCGTTACCATCGATTCGTTCGGATCTCTCGTCGATCGCTCCTCGTGCGTATTGAACAGTCGCTCGTGACTTCGCATCGCTTGAGACGCATCAAGAGCTGCGAATTTCTCGTCGACGTATATCAGTATCTTTTTATTCGCGCATTCCAAATATCCTTCTCGTATTGTTTAAAAATCTAAATGTAAATAGAGGCACTTGTTCTGATGTTACATTCTTACGCTTTACATCGTTCTATCGCTACAATCTTTCTTCGTCGCCGACCCATGATTTTTCTTCTGACGTTTAAATACCTCGCGATAAATTCCCTTAATTTACAAATCGAGCAGGTTTCCTCTAATTCACATATGATTATCAATAAAAACTAAAAATTTAAATTACACTGGCCAACGTATTGTAGTTATCCTTGAAAATTAAAGATCATCGAGGTGATTGACGAGGTCTGTCCATGAGGAAGATCAGCGCGAAGCTCATTCGAGGTGTTCTTTTCGAATTGCAGATCGAATATAAGTGCGCGCGTGTGGTTCGTGTGTGTGTACATGTGCCATCATCACCACCGTCCGCAGCAGTAACGGAAAAGAAGAGGGCTCGACCCGCAGTGGCCGGAATCATCGAAAAATGGACGCGACGCCGCAGCGAGTTATTTCCGGTTTACTTTTGTTCGTCCTCGTCACATTACACCTCGGTAAGTTCCTTTCATTGTTATAATAATTAACGAGAGCATGGTGCGATCGTCGAACCGCGCTGGAGTACACGACATTATGCCGGTCCGGAGAAATCAACTTGGAAGAAGAAAATGGCGCATAATAGTGCTTTCTCGGTTACTTTCCGGAAGTGTTTTAAATATCTATGATTATTTATTAATTAACAAGTTTCTGTAATTTTTCATGTCAATTTTTTTACTAATATTATTGTCGAGAATGCAAGAATCACGACAAAAATATATTTTTAATTATATTTTCTCGAAATATTCTTTTAAATTTAATATTTTTTTATACGTGATCATCAGTTACGTGATTTATTTATGACATCGTGTACTAACTATTTAAATATCATATTTTATTTATACTTTCGATATTTATCTGGATCTTTTATTGACTCGTACATTTAGTTTAGCATTATCGCGTCATAATATCGTAACGTTACGTGCAAACGTCCGTAATATATGCGTGACGTATTACGACTATGCACACAGCCATTTTTCCGCATACCGTGAGAGTTAATATATTTATTCAGCTCGTAATAGAGACTGGCATTGTGGTGTGTACTCCGAGAAAGCTGTGTTATAATAATTTAAAATGGATTCGCGTGCGGTGCATCGCGCTGTAGAAGCAGTGCAAGCAGTTACCTACAGTTATTGTTATTACGCCGCGCCCATTATTTTGCGGTAACGTTCGCATCTCGAGTCTTGTTATTACACAAAGCGATTTAAATTACGCGGCCTTCCGTTCCATGGTACAGGCGGATGCAGGAAAATGCTTTGTGGAACGTTCGCCGGCCTCTTGACCTCCCGGAGAGAGAAAAATACGCGGCTAGTTTCGTAAATTTCGCCAAACTCCTCTATGCAATTTGCGTTAACTCTCTGCGCGGGATACATCACTTCACACAATCGTCATTTAGCCGAGCTGTTCATAACAGAAATAATATAAAGACTTCAAATTACTATAAAAACGAGAAAGACTCTATTTTTATATTCGACAACGTTTGGCTAATGTCGTGACAATTCGACCATTGGTTTTGGTCAGATTAATCGTCAAGACTTTTTCGGCCATGGGTTTTGGTCGTTTCTAAATTGATTTAATCTTCGATACTTACATATAAGCACCTCATTTTTATTAAATTAAATTATTAAATTTATTGCGACAAATATTACCACATGCCTCAGTGGTCGAATTGGTACGACGCTCTATAACACGGAATGAGGGAGGTTCCAGGCTCGAAAATTGGCTGAGGTAATACTTTTCGCAATAAATTTACTAATTTAATATTTAATAAAAATGAGATGCTTATATGTAAGTATCAAAGATTAAATCAATTACGACCAAAACCATGGTCGAAAAAGTCTTGACGATTATAATCTGACCAAAACCAATGGTCGAATTGTCACGACATTAGTCAAACGTTGTAGAATATAAAAATAGAGTCTTTCTCGTTTATTAATTATTGGCGAAACAAATACATATACTTTTCTGTTACTATAAAAACAATTAATATAAAAAAAATTAATATGAAACATAAACGAGGTGATGTAGTATAAGTGAAAGCTATTGTCATCTTGTCAGCTTTTTTAAGGTCAGACGATTCAACATCATTGTTACATTCGTATACGTATAAAACGTGTATCTATCGCGATACAATCTGACAATGAGAGGAGCAAGGTCTCAAAATTTAACCTAACCATGGACAATTTACGACCTTGATCTACCTTCGGATGCTGTCAACTCGAGAAGGACGGTTTGCAACGAGTTCTTTTGGTATACTCACTCTCTCGGTTTCAAAAAACGCAAGATACTCCCTAAGACATTACTTTCCTGCATTTTCTGCATTTATTCACGCAACATTATTATTGGAATCATACATATATTATAGGATTTAAGAATAAAAAAGCTGATTTTTTTTTAGATTCGTATGTATGTATATATCGGACTGTTTTATTTAAAAACGCTACCGCGAGAGTATAAGATTAGTTTGCTATCTTCGGAAGTATCATGGATCGGAAGAACGTTCATGTTACATTACGAAAAAAAAAATGAAAACGATAATTCAACGGCCTTGTTTTACACAAATTCGATCGTGGTTGGTCGTCGTTAACCGGTAAAAATCCGTTCAGTAGTTTTAGAGAAAATCGTGGACATACATACATACATACACGTCGAATATAGAACCTCCTTTTTTTGAAGTCGGTTAAAAATAATGTCGCGATGTCGCCGCCAACACTCGTTGCGACTGCGGCTGCAACTTGAAAACTTTTAGCGACTTAGGACGTAAATTGCAAAGGGGAAACGGGGACGCGGCCGTCTTGACGATGGGACGCACAAGTAGACGGCGGTAAATACGTCGCCGTAATTGCATAATGTCTACGGCGTGTGTACGGTCCGCGCCAAGATACCGAAGCCCTGGCCTGGTTTTTGCTAGAGGACTTTCACTCGGCATCACTATCTTCCTCTTTCTCCACCTGTCTCTTTCTGCCGATGCTGTGGGTCGTTTTCCGTCTCGTCGCTCGTTCCTCGCTCGTTTCCTCTCAAACGTCGGTCTCATCGACCGAACTCGCTTTCAAACCAGTTCGCCATCATCGGTGATTCGAAGGGCTCCGCCAAAATCGTCGGATAATCCATTTCAGCGATTTCACGGCGAACACAAAGGCGTGAATAAGTCAGCGTTATCGTACCGTTCCCTTCCGGGAATTCGATTTGTCTTACCTTGCTTTACTTAATACAAAGTAATATTGGATTATCCATCTCATGTTTAGTAAAAAATGAGTTATTAAATCTTTTTACTGTTTAAAATGCCAGTAACCATGAATTATGACGCGCAAAGAGTCTCCGAGTAAAACATGCAACGAGATTTTATATAATCCTATATATATGCTTTTTGATTCTTGAATCTTTATGCAGACGTTCTATCAAAAATAACGGTATATATTTTTTATATATAATACCGATTCTTTGTAATAAATGTAATTTTTTAAGAGTGGGCTTAACGGAGTTATATTTTTGGAAAGATGATTTTAAAATATACGCTACATGTTTTTTATTAATGTTATATGATTTTCGAAACTTAATAATTAAGATTTTTCTTTTAATTTATTATCATAGACATTGTACGCTAATTTGTAAATGTCATGCGATATAATGCAAAAATTGTAGCTGCTTTTTCATTAAATGAATTTAATTTTCACTAAATAAAACGATACATATTAATTACAAATATTGCAATTTTTCTCATGCTAAATCTAAATTACATAGAAGAAATTGAACCTCGAGAATTCTTCTTTACGGATTACTTTCTAATCAAGTTCTATTAGTCTCTCTCTCTCTCTCTCTCTCTCTCTCTCTCCATGTTTTCTTGTATCTCATTTTATCTTTATTTACGGAGTGTTCGCTTAATAGACGTAATGTATTGAAATTCTTTCGTAATTAAACTCAAGCTCTATTCTTAAACCACTGTTTCTACATATCAAAACGTGTTTGCACATTTCACGTGATATTATTTTTACAGAAATGCAGAAATTAATTTCCTCACATGTAAAGTGTTATTTCATAATTATTTAATATTAAATAACTGCCAATTATTTTAATTGTAAACATTTTATATAAAAATACTTTAAAAAAATTTATTTTATTAAACTAATCTAGTAGGAAATTTATAATTTTAGAAACTTATTGTTAGTTTGCAAGAATTTTTATTTCTTCAATAGCTTATACATAACTGAAAGACTATTGATCTCTACATTATCACATATGTATTAAGGAGAGATTTCCACAGCGCTCGTAGGGAGCTGTCCGAGGCCAAGAATGCTCTATGATAAAAATTCTCGCTGACGATCACCGGCGGCGCCCACTTCAGAGGCACTACGACAGATTCCAAACGTCGAATCGATGTAAAACGAACACCGACGCGCGAGTATCGGCGATGCAAGCGCGTGTAGCCTCCAATAAACCCCGGTCGAAGCCGTTCGATCGCTCTCGACGAATCTCGAATCGGACAATACCCGGCCTCCTGACGCGGATACGGTCCCTCCGGCTCGTCCGGGATAACCCGCGAGGTCTCTCGGGCATACATATACGCCCGCATGTTGCCGGCGGCGGGGCATAATACCACGAGTACAACTCCCCCCGGTTGTACTCGTGCGCTATCAAACACGAGGGGGGAAAGAAAGAGATGCGCGTCTCTCTATCTGTCTAGCTCTCGATCCATCTTTATCTTCTTTTCCGGGGATTACTTCCGGGTCAGCGAGCCAGTCTCGATCGCGCGTTCGTTCCGCGCTCTTACAGATTATACGGGGTACTTGTTGGTGCGTGACGCGAGGCGCATCCCGAAGCGCATGGCGTACCCGTAAGCTCTGCGAATCCCCCCCGGGCGCCGCGAGCTGCGTCGTCTCGAATCTCCGTTCGACGGTTCGGATATTGCGAATCGTGGCACCGACAATATTTCACGAGAGATCGACCGTTCATCGCTCGACACATCGGCTCACGTTTCACGGATACTTGTTCTTCTGTGGAGAGAGCGTACAGAACGGGCCAAAAGCCCACTGTCCTGAGAGCAAAACTAGCCGAGAGAAACTTTAACGATTTTTTTGTTTAATACTTGGACCGTGTCGTGTCTCTTTCTTGATTGCTTTAAAACGTTACTTTAAAGAGTATATGGTATACTGTAGGAGCCTATTTATTCTCTCAGAAAATGGTACTCCAACTTAAAATATGAAGAATATTCAAGCTTTTAGTTTAGTAAACTTATCGCGCGATATCTATAATTCAAACTTTGAATAATCCAACTAATATTTTGTTCTAATACTTATTAAAAATGCTCTCCGAAATATACAAAAATAATAACAATTATAAAAGAAGATTATATTTCGAGTTAAACACGATTTTTATTTTGCATTAATGTGTGTAATAATAGACGTCATCCTTGCCGAATTAGTTTAAAAATACGTACTGACAAGATCCTTTAAAAATTCACGGT